TATATATATATATATATATATATATATATATATATATATATATATTACATATATGTATATTTGAAAAGTATATCAAAAAAATGGATGTGGGTACTCAAACGAAAGCTCTTGATGAGTATATCATCAGGATGAGCTTATATCTATAAAAAAGTCAATAGTAAAAAAAATACAGTGCAATTTAACAAAATTCATTATTTAATAAAGCAAAAGTCACGAAAGTCACATAGTGACTGCAAGATTACTAGAATAAATTAATTTTAGTAATAAAAAATTAGAATTGAGTGTTAAAATAATTACCCTTAATACTTTCTTGCATTCAGTGATTAATAAATCCTCAGATTCTTTATTAATAATATCATGACCCAAAGATTTTAATTTGGTTGCTAAAAACTTGATACAACTTTCACGAGTCCCATCATCTCCATTAACTATTTGGCTGAAAAATCCGCTCAGAGTGGCTGTAATTAAACAATTAATTAGTACTTTATTTCTAATTAACAAATTAAAAAAAAAAAATAAATTCATTTTACCCTTGGGGTCATTTTTCATCAATGTCATAATACTATTACAAACAACAGCTAATTCTGTTGGATCTTGAGCTTGCAATAACTGAGCCAAAATATCAGCAATTCTTGGAGTATGCTCCTTGTTGTCCTTACATAACGCAGGAAGATCTTTAATAGCTTGTTTACGAATCTATAAAAAATAAAATATTATTAATTATCAACAAAAATTGACTAATACAAAAATAAAACTGATTTCTTAAATAGTAAATAAATATAAATATTTACAGCCATGTCTTCATCTTCACAAAGATCTAGTTGAGCATCAATAGCTTGATCAGCCAATTGTGGGAAGTGCTTGAAAAATCTAGCAATAAATTGCGACGCCAAACGCTTTTCTTTGGCTGTTCCTTTCACTGCTTTCAAAATTTCCAAATATTCTTTCTCATGCTAAAAAAAAATAAATTATTATTAATAATTAATAAATATAATTTAGGTTATAAAAATTAGAGGTTAAGAATAATAATTTTTACCTCCGAAACTTTGTCTTTGGCGTCAGCTAATATTCCGTAATTTTTATACAATTTTTCAATACTATCAGTACTCATTTTGATTGTTTATATAATAATAATAATAATAATAATAATAACCTCTGATTAAATAACAAAAAATAACTTTGAAAAACTTAATTTAATTAAAAATATTTTATTTTATTATTATTAGAAAATCAAGGACCGGCAAACGCCCTGAAAAATTTCTTGAAACAAAAATGGTCGCAACACACGCGGTGATGTATAGGTTCAGTTAGCCACCAGGCTTCGCTCGCAAATAACTTTCACTTTATATAATATTTTCTTAAATATAATCTACACTAATTTAATAACTTAATTGTTTTTAGACGAATAAAAAATTAAACATGAACACAAATATCGAATTTTAATTATAATTTAAATTACAAAATACGATGCGCTAATTATTATAATTGCATTAGTAACCGACGACAGACCGTGAGGTAATAGGTAATAGATTATTTTTATTTTTTGATAATGAACGCAAGGGGGCGGTGAGATTGTTCAAGAAGGTGCTGCGCTCTGGTTGTTAATTTTGAAATTCATTGTTTATTCAGTAACATAACCAATAAATTGTTTACCGGATTATAATTTTTTAAGTAAATAAGTAATTTTTAAATAAATAAATAATTGTTTTTTGACAAGATGTCAACTAGATGGTAATTTAATATTTTTTTTTATTTATTTCTTTTGTTTTAATTGTTATAGAGTTAATATTTATTGGATTATTTATAATTTTAAAGTTAGCCGATTTTTTTATTTTTATTTATTATTAAATTAAAACTAAAAGAAATTTTTTAAAATTACACTTATAGTTTTTTTTATAATAATTTTGTAAATAAAAAAAAATTTTTAAATGTCAACAAACTTAATTTTTATGGATAATTTTTGTTAGTTTATATGAAAATAAATTTGGCAGACATTTGACAATTTTTAAGATTTTTCTTATTAAAAAAATGATTACAAAAAAAGGAAAAATAAAAATTTTAGATACAAAAAATTTAAAAAACTAAAAGTGTAATTTTTATGAAAATGAAGTTAGCTGACATTTCAAAATTTTTATAAATTTTTTATAGAAAAAATTTCAATTAAACAATAAAAAAAAATATCATATGTTAAAAACTTGAAAAACTATTAGTGCGATTTTTTATAAATTTTTTTTTTTTTTTGGTTGTAATTTATTTAAAAAAAAAAAATCAAAAATTTTTCGACGTCTGCTGATTTCAGTATCATTAGTTAATTGATTCATTCTTATAAATTATTATTTTCATTTCATTAAAGTTACAAGAAATTTATATGATACTGAAATCAGCTGTTGTTTTTCTTAATTTGAAGAATTAATTAATAAAAAAAAATTTAATGAATTACTTTTTTCAATTTCTATATGGAGAATTTGTTAATTTTTTTTTTTTATAAAAATTCTAAAAATTATCAAATGCTTATTTATGTTATGTTACTATCATAAAATTTGAAAATTTTTTAATAAATTTCCGTTTAAATAAATGATAGTAAAGTAGCAGACATGTTAAAAATTTTTAATGTAATTAAAAAATGAATTATTTATAAATTTAAAATGTAAAAAAATTTATTTTTCTAATTTTAATGATAATAAAAATAATTAAAATACTTCCTGTAATAGGTATCCAATTTACCAAAAAGGAAATCCCCAGCTGCGGGTATTCCTCCCCAACTTCTGGATGAAACTTGTAAAACCTCAATTTGAAGAGGTAATACCAAACCAATTTGAATTTCACGTTTCGATGGAAATGACCAAGCACGACGTGAAAAACTACCTCCAAAAAATTTACAATCTCCCAGTACTTGACGTCAGAACTCGAATAAAGATGGGAAGATTCAGGAGATGTCCTAGTGGTGGTTACATTGTCAAGGATGATGATATCAAAATCGCCTACGCTATTATGGTACCTAAATCCTCCATCTTCAACTCTATAATTAATTAATTAATTTAATTTATTTTATATTGATATAATTTCAGCCCAAAGACTTCAAGTTTGAGTTTCCAGACATATTCAAACGAGAAGAGAAGAAAAAGGAGGAAAAGATTGATCAGCGAACTGTCGATGAGATGAAAAACGGATACCAAACCTTTCTTAAGCACAACAATAAACCTGGAGTTCCTGGATGGTTTAGTATCTAACTTCGTCGACCTAAATGTGTATCTAATAAATAAATAAATAATATCTGTTTTGAATATGAAAATAAACACAGTGTTTTTTTATCAATTATATTCTCTTACAGTAAATTAATTCATCTTTGAAAAATAAAGATAAATAAATAAAGATTAATTCATCTTTGAAAAATATATCTAGTACTTATAATACGTAATTATATTTTAATATAAATCAAATATATTAAATAGATTTTTCTTTGTACTCATAACAGAAGCATCACCTATAGAAGTATTTAGTTTACTTCTACTTCCTTTAGTTTATCTGTTTGGTAGCACGCTGGACATATTTCAAAGTCCATCATGAATAGTACCTTTAAAAAAATTACAATATAAATTAATTATTATTATTATATTATTTAATAATTATTAATAGTGAATTAGAATTGAATTTTTTTTTATAATATAATTATTTTTAATAATATAAATAACAAGACATTTTTTTTTCAACAAATAAGTAATTGAAAAAAAATATTTCATTAATATAAAAAGTAGTTTTTAATTTAATTAAAAAATGAATGAAATGTCAAACTTAAATTATAATTTTATGACACTACAATCAGCAATAATAATAAAGATATTAAAGTTAGCAGTCTTGGCTAATTTTTAATTTTTTTTAACAAAAAAATTTGTTTTAAAAAATTGCATTTTTTATTTTTTTAAATTTCTAATTTTTGTTTGCCATAATTTATTTGTTAAAAAATTATTAAATATCTGCATGTCAATTTTTTTTTTGTAATCATTTGTTTCAGTAAAAAAAATTATAAAAATTTTTAGATATCAGCTAACTTAATTTTCATCAATCAGCAGACATTTTATTTTTTTTTTTTTTTTCATTTCTTTTAATTAAATTAGAACTAAAAAAATATTTTTAAAAAATTGCACTTATAGTTTTTCAAAATTTCTTTTTTTTTTTCTTCAATAATTTTTTTAATAAGAAAAATTAAATGTCTGCTTTTATTTATTTTTAAAGAATTTTTTACTTAAAAAACAAAATGTCTTCCTAATTTTTTAAACTATCTACAAAATAAAAAAAAAAAAAAAAAAAAAAAAAAAAAAAAAAA